CTAAAAATTCAAAAATCATTTGTAATAAAATATGAAACAATAAACAAACCCTGCACGTGTACTGTGTGCTTAGAACGCAAAGCTCTATACAGAGTTTAAGACCCTCGTATCCAGGAGGAAGTCCGTCAAACACCTCGCGTGGCTCAACCTATAGAATGAATTTTAGAAGAGACAGAGGATAACTTTTCAAATTAATATTTACAGTGAGGGTATGATCACGGGATGCAACAAATGTAGCGCAGTCGTGGTAGGCCTCAATATTACCTGAAAAAAAAGCGATTTAAAAATAGTTAAATTTTAACATATGAGGCTCACCTGGATAGCAGAACTTGAGATCAGTTCGTGTACCATGTTGATCACGTGGAGGCCTCCTTAAGTGAACACCACCGTCTTCGACATTAATCATGCACTGTGCATCGTTAAAATACGTGAAGGAGTGGCAGCTCTGAGAGGGAGTAATTTACTTGAATCTTTTATTTAGCTGAAAAAAGAAATATAGAAACCTCATCCGCGCATAAGCCTTTGCAAGTTTTCAAGTCATTGACAAAGGTGCTATCGATAAACTCGCTACCAACAGTATTCCCGAAGCTAAGCCATACGGGAACATGGCCAGTGGAGCAGCCTGAAATTTGATACGAACTCTACATATATATGAATATGTCAGTTCAAAAGAACTTTTTATTCTATAACCTCATAGTTGAGCAGAAAACAAAAATGTGCAGGTTGGAGTGAGAACCACTTAGAACTTTATTGTCTAACGTAGCCTAATTACAATTCTTTGGGTAGAGAGACTACAATACTGGTGATATTCGAGAGTTGTCCGAAAAATTACAGAACTCCCCGGAATTTTAATCTGTTTGTGAGCAAGCCCTCTCAAACTTAAGTGAAAGGTGCCAAAAGTATGGAGTAGTTCACTGTTTCTGAAATGTTTTGCGCTGACAACAGTATCTAACGATAAAAAATAAATCAATTTTTTAATTTGTTCTATTTTTAGTGGCTAATTAGTGCCATGACATTGTTAGCTCTCTAACAGCTAAAAGAAGGATCAAATAAGACGGATACGTCGAAAAAGGAGAGAAAAGAAAGTTATGTTTTTCTTCAGTGTGTCTTTAGGAGTGTATTCTATTATGTCCAAACTTTTATATGTTTGTTACCACACCCAATTATGGAACAATATGAGCGCAAATAGTTTGAAAAGCACTTCGCAATTTTACAAAATTATATTTCTGGTGAGTTCTTGCATTTGCAATTTTCTGAATCTGTATTCATCTTATATATGGGTTGATAAATTTCAAATTAGTGATTTTATATAGGATTCCATAAATCAAATTTTCCAAAATTCGAATAGTTTAACAGTTTTAGTGCTCACCTTTTGGCGATGCTGCTACTTCAGCTGAGTGATTAATCTGCTTGTGATCACCGTCAACCAGTTGATCCGAGCTACTTTTGCTGTTGATATTATTCAGGAAAAAGCGAGCTTTATTCGCAAACGACGCGGACCCGTCCAAAGTTACTTGCTGAAGCCAAATTTTTACGGTTTAGTGCGTTTTTTGTATTACCTTACCTTGGGTTTTTTCTGCTCCTGCCTTCTTATGTCAATTTCTCTGCTTTCCACTGGTTTTCTTACAAATAGATTATTATCGGAAAAGTTGATTCGTTTTGCAAAAAATTGCTGAAATAAAAAATTTGAATGTAAAATTTTAAGAATACGTATTGAAGCATAATTTTATTTTCCCTTACCGCTCTTTGAGTTTTTGGTTTAGAAGGTGTGACGAGAGCCACAGCTTCTACAACTTCAGCGTCAAGAACTTCAGCTTCGGCCGTTGCTGTTTCTTCCCTGGTTATGGGGAACGAGTTCTTCACTTTTCCTGCGAGATATTCAGCAAACCTATCTGGGTGCTTCTTTTTCAACTGCTCTGTTAATAGAATCATTTGTAAATTGTCTGAATAGTAACTTATCTGAAACTCAGGAATTTGTATCCTTACCCAACTTTTGCTGCAGTCTCCTGCTTAGGCTCTTGTCTTCTTCACCTTTCAATGAAGGAAGAACAGTTTCTGCTAATGGCATCACTTCTGTGCTCTGCAATAGTGAAGTGGTTGGTTGTGCCAAATATGCGTAAAGCAATAAGTGATGTTTCATAAAGATATATTTACCCAGCATCTTAAAGTATTCGCTTTTGCTACTTTTCCTTGGTAAACTCCCACTTTCATTTTGACGATCACATTACCAAATATGTAAAAAAAAAAACACAGAGATAAACGAAGAAGAAGGTTACCGTCAAATCAACTTGCTCATTCTCGAAAGCCATGTAGTCTGCATCCTTTGGCACATGTACCATCGATGACTGACCTCTGGAAGGGAATATATATCTTCGTTGGAAAGGTTAAAGCAAGAATCACAAACTTTCTGTCAAGTAATTCTGGATTGTTGATATCTCTCACTGGCTGAACAACCACATAATCTTCTTCGGTGGGTTTCTTCCATACTGCAGCTGGAATGATTTTTGATTATTTCAGCTCTTTTGGCATCTCACTGGGTAATATTGTGTAATGACTGTATTACCCAAATGTGTAGTTGGCTCCTCAATTGACGACTGTTGGACAACGGTAGTGGACGGAAGTGTAACCGCTTGAGTTGTTATTTCTGTGGTCGTTGATGGCTTGGTAGTCTAAAAAAGTTGAACAATCCCTTTGGGAGTCTCTTCTACCTCGATCTAGTAGTATATTCTACGAGATGATAGTAAGTGGATATAAATGTTAATTGAATATTTCTTTATACCTTTTTTCATAGTTTTATTCCAAAGGTAAGCTGCTTGCTGAAAGTTTGGTAAAAAATTCATGAGTTGGCATTAAGCTGTTTCTAATTTCTGATCAAAAAAAA